TTTTTTTTTTCTTTTTTAAGTTTTTTGGTTAGACTTGTGTTAATTCCAAATGGTATTGCTGTCTATAATAGCTGTGATGTTAAATACTTGCTGCTGATTATATTCAGCAATGCCCTAAGGATAGGGTTATTCTCCTAGAGCAAGCTCTGAATGGGGTAAAATAAAGACAAGGCCTGGAAGTGGAGCTTTATAGGCAGCTTTCAGCTCTCTGGGAATGAGACTTTTGGAAGAGTGCCAAACCTGTTTTGCCTCCACTGCCTAAAGCGGCTGCTACGCTGATGGTTTTCACAGCTATTAATATCATAGTTATACATCTGTTGGTTTTCAAGACTACTCTAGAGCTGGGGAGAAGGGGATGAAAATAAGACAAGTTAAGACAGCACAAAACTTACTATTTTTACTGATATTCAGGGTTCTGAAATAGTTGATTTTAACAATTTTTGCCAGTGTTTTCATTGCTTTTATGGGGGAAAGAGATTTACAGAGGTCCTTCCTATAAAATTGTTTTCGGAGTATTTTTTAAAGATGGGATGGGGGAAAAGTCATAGAAAGGTAGTATTTCTTGAAATGAACGAACTGAGGGAACTTTGAGGAAAGGTGAGCTAATTATTATTTTTATATAAACTATTATATACATAATATCTTTATAAAAATATATAATTTATATATACATTTTAATGCAAATTGTTATGTTATCGAAAGGCAATTATTTGGAATAAAATACAAACAAGGTTGTATTCCAAATGGAATTTTCTTTAGAGGTTTAGATACTTAGGGGAGTTGTACTGAATAGGAAAGTGAGAAAGCACACCAGTCCCAAAAGTTCTCTTTTTCTCTTTTTTTTTGCTATTTTAGGTGTACAGAGCCAATGGGCCAGATGGAGCCATTGGCAGAGGCCAGAGAATCCACTTGCAGTTATGGGACACGGCAGGGCAGGAGAGGTATGAGATCTTCATTATGTGCTTCTTACTGGAGGAAAGGGAAAACCAGCTACACTCTTCATACAGTGACTTGAACCTGGATAAAACATACTGCCAAATTAGCAGGAAATTTGTCAGTCTGAGATGATAATGACTGCTTTATTTCATATGAGGTCAAAGGAAAAATAAATCCTTTTCAAAACAGACCATCTCACTTTTTCTTTTTCTTCTGTGTGTATATATATATATATTTTTTTCTTATATATATAATATATATAATGTATTATATATATTATATGTAAAAGGCTTGTACACATTTCTCCAATTACTTTTGCTATTTACTCAGACACACACACACACACACACACACACACACACACAATAGCTACACAGTTACATGCATCATTCTTACCTGATTGTTGAAACTAGTGGAAAATCTGATTGGAATTAACCCATATGGTCAGCAGTTGCTTGACTACAAGAAGTCACATGAAATCTTGATATAAAGTTGTTTTTAATTAGCTTCTGTTTTCTCTCATAGGTTCCTTCAAAGGTTTTGTTTGTTTTTTTAACTTTTTATTATGGAAAAATTCAAGTATATACAAAAGTAGAGAGCATAGTATAATGAACTCATGCACTCATTTCCCAGTTTCAGCAAGCTGTACCCCAAGCTGTGGCCAATCTTATTTCATGTATACCCTTCATTCCTTCATTCACCCCCTCCGCCAAATTATTTTGAAACAGATTCCAAATATCAGATTATTTCACTCACAGCTATTTGGTATGTATCTCTGAAAGATAAGGACTGTTTTTAAAATATTTGAGAAAACTTAAAATAGCACACTAGATGACAAATTCATACTAGTGTTTTCTTCCCTGAGCCTATGTCTGGCAGTCAGAGGCTTTGCATAAAGGCAAAGTAAGAGGAAACTGACTGTTAGAGGGACAGAGAGGGGAGACAGCAGCGTAAAGGCTTGCAAGAGAGAGGACCAAGACAAGATAGTCAACACTATCCCCACCTTAAAGCCAAAGAAATGGTCGATCAGAGATAAGCGATTTCTGTAGAGACTGAAATTAAAAGGTCTTGATGGAACACACTGTAATGTCAAGCCAAGCTAAGCTTTCACAAGACAGGGAAAACATACATGGCAAGCATCGTTTCTATTGGTCCAATTAACTCTTACTTGTACAATAAGTTCTTGGATCACGAGCTAGTTCGTCATCCCTGTCTAGCAGGCTGGGTGTTCAAATCACATGGTCTGTTAACACATCAACTTATATAAGTAATAAATAACTGCCTTATACATTTTGGGAATATGATCACCTAATTTTTTTGAATTTTTAAATTTACACAGGTTTTTATTTTAAAAGAAAATTCCAAGTACAACTTTTGATAATTGTTGCCATTTTCATAAAGTCTAGATATATTTTCAAATATTCTTTCTTGTTCTATGGGTAGCTGTTTACTATATTTTGTAAGATACCTAGTATCATTGATTATACACATAATTTTATACCGTTAAAAGTATCATTTTTAATAGCATTATTCACTAAATCTTGTGTAACTAAGAGTTGTAGTATGCATGTATGATATGAAGTTATTAGAAACAATGGCACATTATTAAACATCTAATGTGTCACTGATGAACTATTGTAGGAGGCTGGGGGCGCTGCTGGTAGTTTTATATTTCAGGAGTGGGGCCATGATTTAGGTGATCAATCTGCTTTTATGTTTCTAGGTTTCGGAGCTTGACAACGGCCTTCTTCAGAGATGCTATGGGGTTTCTTCTGCTTTTTGATCTGACAAATGAGCAAAGTTTCCTCAATGTCAGAAACTGGATAAGTAAGTGTTAAATTGTCTCCCAGCCTCCTGCTTCCTATAATAAAATGCCCTCTTTATAATGCTTTTGTTGTAAGTTGTTTTGGGAGAAATCCTAGTGCTATTTAAAATGCTATATAAAGAAGCAAGGCTTTTAGTTTAGCGGCAAAGATAACTGAAAGACTCTGCTTTTTTTTTATTATTAAAATTTATTGGGGTGGACTCTGCTTTTCCTAGTGATACTAACTTTGATTTGTTGCGTCGTTCCTATGCTCCAGGTATAAGGCAGTGCTTTCTTTTTTCTTTTTGTAACTTAAATTTATTGGGGTGACAGTGGTTAGTAAAATTACATAGGTTTCAAGTGTACATTTTTAATGTATCATCTATATATCACATTGTGTGCTCACCGCCCCAGAGTAAGGCAGTGCTTTCCATGTAATCTTTTAATCAGTCTTTTCCACAGAGGAGACCTATCCCCATTTTATAGATGAGGATATAGAAGCCTAGAGAAGGTAAATCACCAAGTATCTGCTTCCCTATTGGGTGCTATCAAGTCTTACACCATCCCAGCATTTAAAGCACATGTTACATAGACATAAATACGTTTGAAAGCTTCCTGGATCATACCCCTGGCTCCATGTCTCTGTGTTTAGAGGCCCCTTTTCTGCTTTTTAGGGTCAGAGTATTTGTCAGGAGGACGCTGTCATGGAAAACTCTAGAACAGCTTTGGCAAAAGTGGTCCCCAGCACAGCATACATAAACCTTCATTTCGGCTCTGTGGAGAGATCCTAATCTCTTAAACGATTGGTAGTGGCCATTTAAAATCCTGCCACTTAACCAAATAACAGCTTGCAGATGTACATTTTCCTCTATTGTTTGTATTAGTGTAAACCTAGAGAATCTACTGGGGAATGCTGTGATGTTAACTTCTTAACATCCACATCTTTAAAATGACAACAGTTTAAAAAAAACAACAAAAAAACACATCCTCCTTAAAAATTACTTGGTGTTTTGGTATTACGAAGGGGCAATTGGCTGTGGTTTTGATAGTAGAAAACCTTATTTTAAAAATACGAGTTTTTAAATAAGTAATTTATGTAGTGTGTTGTGGTTTCCAAAGAATCTTCACATACTTTGTATCTGACCCTCGCAGCCGCCCTGTGAGGAGATTGGACAGGTGGTGTGTCCTTATTTTGGGATGAGGACACTGAGCCTTAGGAAGTGAGGGACTTATTCAAGGACGTGGAGCCTCTGGCTTCCAGTTCAGTGTCCTTTGCTCTTTCTTGGCTAAGTTGATGACTAAGAGTTGAAGATCTATTTAACACTTTAAATCTAGCTTTCCCCAATTTAGTAGTGCTTGCCGGGCTTCGCTGCTGAGTGCCTGGCCGAGTGGTGTGCTGCACGGTTTCCCGCACAGCTGAGTGATGATGGTTCTTTCCAGTCCTTTATCCTCAGCCCTTGCTCATCACCCTCTCCTGTGCATTCCCGGAACAAGTTCTTGGGCTTTCTTAGGGCTTTTCTTTCTAAGGACTCTTGTTAGACATGTGCCCATCAAATCTCAGCATTGAAAGGTCATCAACCCACCTCTTTTTCCACAGGTAGAAAGGGAAACTCTGAGACATTAGATAAACCTTGCCCGTCTGGGCTTTATATCTTTTAGGTAAAGAGCAAAATTATGTGAAATTATGGGTATGTATGCATTTTGTTTTGTTTGCCTTACAGAGTGAAAGAATCCTTACTGCCCAATTAAGTAAATAAAACTTATTCATATTGAAGATTTCATATCTTCAGTGGAAAGTGTTCTTCTGCCCAATCCTGTTTTTTTTTGTTTTTGTTTTTTTTTAAAGATACAATGTTCAATGTTAGAGTTAGTAATATCTTCATTAGGAATAAAAATTTGTTAATTATTTATACATTTTATTTTTCCCCTGCCCGTTAGTATTTTGAGTATTAGAGGGATTATTCGTTTCTTCTTTTTTATTTAACTTATATAAATTTACTTAACTTATACAAATAAAACTATTTATTTAACTAAATAATAGTTTAAAAAATGTATATGTATGTGTATGTATATGTGTATGTATGTGTGTGTATCTGTCATCTACCCACCTACCTGCACACACACGGTGCATACCAGAGCAGAGGCAGTGTTACTTCATAACCTTATGAAGTAAGTTCCATTATTAAACTAGGAGCTGATTCCTAGGTCCTGATGGCCCAAGGCGAAGAGAGCGTGTCTGCATCCTCCCTCTGCTTCTGAGCTGCGTCGCGGTCCCTTCTCCCTGGACTCTGCATCTCTCCGGGCCACCTTAGGAAGGGACAGGAGTCCAAAGATCAGCCCTGCTGAGTTTAGGCGACTGAACAGAGAGCGGAGTCCTCAGGGCCTAAGTCTGAAATCCAAGAGGAATGGAGTAACACTGTCTCCACTCTCCTGTCTTCCAGGAGCCCAGAGGATAAGCGAATCATGCCCATAGTCATTCCTCATCCAGGGGCAGAATGGTTTGTAAGGAGACTTTAACCTAAATTTCTAAACTTTTTTTCTGTAGCCTCACAAATGGCACAGGAGCCCAACATGTATGTATTTGACATGTTTTTGCCTGTGTATTTTTATTTCTAATATTCCCTCTGTCCAATAAGCCCTCCCCGCACCCATGCCCATGTTTTAAACTGATTAGAGTTCTACTTATTCTTTAAAATCTGAAAAAAATACGGCCTCCATGAAATTTTCTGTGACAACTTTAGTTGGATTAAATTTTCCCCCTCCTAGTAACCCCTCTTACTTTTTGTGCTACTTTAAGTGTCCTTATCACATAGCACCTTGAGTTGTAGCTATTTATGTATGTGCCTTTTTCGTGAGATTTTTTAAAGAACTGATTAATTTCTTTTTATATATCAGGAATTCACATTCTTTGTAGAAAAATTAGGAAAAAAAATAAAAGGAAAAATTACCCATAATCATACTTCCCAGACTCCCCCAAATAAACACCATTAAACATTATCACTGGTAGTAGTTACGTGGCCCTTCTAAATGCCTTAATGTATTATCTTAGTCGGTCCCAGTGTGAGTGTGCCTCTGGGTTACCCAGAGGGCTTGTTATAACAGATTCTGGGCCCTATACCCAGCTTTCCTGATTCAGTAGCTCTGAGGTGGGACCTGAGAATTTACATTTCTAACAAGTTCTAAGGCTGCTGGTCTATGGACCTTACCTGAAGAATCACTGAGTTATCTCATTCAACACTCCTTTAATTATTATCGCCATTTACAGGTGGGGAAACTGAGGCACAGAGCCGTCAAATAAGTTTCTCAGGGTGACACAGCTAGTAAATGGCAGAGTCAGGATTCAACCGTAGACACACTGGGTTCTGAGTTCATGCTTACAACCATGACACTGGACATGTAAGGTGTTAACAGAGCACAGGGCCACTCTGGAGACCAGAAATGTTGCCCAGCAGAGGCAAATGGGGAGCAAGCCTGAAAGGAAGGGTGGGGAGTCCCTGAAGGAAGGCTGTGGTTGAGTATTCAAGGGTGTGAGGACAGCATGTGTAACAGCCTGGAGGAAAGAAAGGGCAAGGCTGTTATTGCAAACACACAGTTTGGTCTTGCCTGTATATATAGTTCTTGTTCCCCAGGGTGTCTCTCGAGGGCAAAGGTCAGTGCCCTGAAATTCTACACCAAGTATCAGGCCTACATTAACACTCAGTAAATGCTCGCTGCCTTGACTTTCTTTTGATAAGATACAATGAACATGGCTTCATAATGAGGAAGTAAAATGTCAACACTTTTCTGGTTAACCACGATAAAAAATAAATTAGGCAATAAACTTTGTGAAAGTTTGGGCTGCTTTAATTTCATTATGGGGGTATGCTGAGTAAGAAGACTTTTTTTTATTTGGGAGATTAAGCTGTTTAGCGTAGTGAAGCTCTTTTGTTTGATATCATTACTTTTTAAAATTATGCCTCTTTATAGGTTTTCAGATAAAAAGAAATAAAAGCTGTGGAGTAAGAATTGTAGTCTCCTGTTTTTTCTTGGTTCTGGTGACTGAATCCTTGACTGTTTATTCTGGGTTTTCTCTCTTTATGTAATCCTGTATCTTGTTTGTTTTAAATGAATTGATTCTGCTTTAGAGTAATAGAAAAATGTGGAAAACATTTCAGATAGAAATAGGTTAGTTTATAGGAAGACAATTTTTTAAAAAGTCATTGTTGTGGAGAGAAAATATCTGAAAAATAGAGCTTTAAGATTAGTAATAAACACTAGGAAATCCTCTAAGTTTTTTTTTAGATGGCCTTCATCATATAAAAGACTGCCATGTGTTGTGTGTGTGTGTGTGTGTGTGTGTGTGTGTGTGTGTCTGTGTATGTGCACGCGTGTACACACACACGCAGTTTTGGAGGGTTAGCGAATTTTCCCATTCCTCCCTGATACAGATGAGCTGGGGTATGTGTTAAAGGACAGTAGTAGTTTTACATCTCTGTCTCATCCATTCAGTTTTACAGATTAGGTTAATGATGCTTTGGAAGAATTCTATCAGTTCGCTGTGTATGCATATCCATTGACAGTTTTCAAAGCACTTTTGCATGTATTCTGTTGATCATACACTTATATTATTGTTTACCTATGACAAATGACCTCATCTTCTTACATTGACAGGCCAGCTACAAATGCATGCATATTGTGAAAACCCAGACATAGTGTTATGTGGGAATAAGAGTGACCTGGAAGACCAGAGAGTAGTGCGAGAGGAGGAAGCCAAAGGACTGGCAGAGAAATACGGGTGAGTGTTTCTGTGGAGCAATCGAGAGACAACATTTCCAACTTGAACATTAGCACATCAATGGATAACAAAAAAGACAGAAGCAAAAAATTGGAACAGAACGCTCAGATATAGGCCTTGGGAGGTGTGAAATACCTACTTTGTATGTTAATATTATTTGATAGTGGGAACCATAGAAAAAGCTTTGGGCGAGGGCCTTCTCAATCTCTTGGTGTTTGAAGAATGGCATCTTTGAAGGCAAAGGCCCCAGTTGTGTAAGGCTGCCTTTCCCAGATGTATGTAGGAGACTCTGGGATAAGGAAACCCTCTGGTCAGCAAGGAAATTCAAAGCCAGTTCATATGCTGCTGCATACAAGAAGGCCTTATTGGCTTTGAAATTTCTGTGCTGCGAGAAGAGCATAAAGATCCTCTTTGGTTTAGGCTGTGTTTTTGTGGTGGAGAATTAACTAAATACTGTCTTTCTCCTTGAGCTCTGGGAGTAGGATCATAGTAGCACAGCATTAATTGGACATGAAAGGAGGGGTCGCACACTGCTTATTATAGCGTCAAAGGCCCCTCTACAAAGGAATTTGTACTCTACTTGCTTTCTACCACTGCTACGAGGACACAAATGTTTATGTGTCAGTTACCCTTCTATAAGTGGGAGGCAGCAGTGGGGTTGAGAAGGAAGGGGCAGGAGAGGGGTGAAGACTACACCCCTAGAAGGAGGAAAGACTACAGACAGGGAGATTGCAGTGATCTGTGAAGTAGGTAGGGGCTGGATTTGTGGAAAAGGGCTAAATCAGAGAAAATATGTAAGGTGGGGCAGAACAGGGTTTAAATGTTTCTCTAGTCTAGCTCACCAGGAACGGGGCCAGTCCCTATCAAATATTCTGGGTTACTCTGGCAAGGATTTGTACTAGGATCTGGAGATTTCCTCTCATGGGTAGGTGGTAGCTCCTGGGGAGCTTTTGACAAATACTCCTGTCTGGGCCTCACCTCTGAGCTTCTGATATAATTGATCTGGAGTGGTTTATCAGGCAAGGTTCACTTGAATAAACGGATTTGTTACAGGGATCTGACCTTATGTACTTGTGGGAGCTTGTTAAGCAGTGTCTGTGAGGTGGTGTTTTGCATCTGATACCGAAGCTTGAAGTCCGCAGGATGGGCAGTCAGGAAGGGAAGATGGATTTCAATTGGGAGTGAACAAGAAGCAGCCAGGACCTGTAATGACAGACCGAACCCTGGTCAATCATTGCTGCTTCTGACCTGGATTGTGTAGGTGTCCTAGAGCAGCCCAGGCCCTTCTCACTCAGCTGAACACACACACCTGGCCCGGGAGTTGGAGGAGTTGGAGGAGCATCTCGGGGCAGGTGGAGCAGGTGCAGAGCAGGTTGCTGACTTATGATGCCAACAAGATGAGTCAGCAGATAAGCGGCAACGTACAAGGGCTAAAGAATGGCCGTTGCTTCACATCTCCCCTCCAAATCTCCCCCAAATCCATCTCGAGGTCTATCCTAACTACAAAGGGGATTCTCGGAAATGTTGTTTAACCTAGCCAAGCTGACATATTTACAAAGCCACCACAGATGGGGGCTTGGTCATTGGTATCTTTTAAAAGCTCTCCACGTGATTTTCACGCTCAGTGGTTGAGAACCACAGACTGAGGTGATTCTGAGGGGGAGGCTGACAAAGCCCCACAGGCGATGCTGATATGCCCCCCTCCTCCCTTGAGAGGCACTCCTGTTGTATGGTGGGAGGGGTCAAATACCACAGAGAACACTGAAGTGTTGAAGGTGGGAGCTGTGTTGCAAGGAAGGAGGAAGTAAGCGATGAAGCAATGGAAACCATGGATTAGAGCATGCTTTTGAGAAGTGTGCTAGTAAAGGCCAGAAAAATAGGGCAGCCAGGAGTTAGCTAATCCCCCTATTATTGGCGGGGGAGTGAGGATTGACTTCTTTCTCCTCTGGGCTTCTTCAGCCCTTTGCTTTGTTTCCTCTGTTTTGGTTCTCAGGATTCCACATCCTGCCTGATATCAAAGAGCCGGCCATTGCCTTCTGACTATGTGGGGAATCTGGGGATACAGAGGGGTCGTCTTTCGTCTGTGCTCAGATCACGGGCCTAGGGAGTGTTTTAGAGAAAGGCTCAATGTAAAGTTTCTGGATTGAGTTAAAATGAAAGCATTAGCAGATAAGGTAATTAAAACTATTGGAGAAGAATGGAAAGGGGTGGAAACAATTTCCTTAGGATTTAAGAAGTATAAAATATAGTTCTGTGGCTTTTTGGCAGTCTCAGAGGAAAATATGATGGAGCAGTTTGGTTCACTACATATCACAAATTTGGTGTATAAGTTTAATGATTATTTTTACAGAAATCTTTTTCATTCTCATTATTTTCATTGGTTGCACATGTACTTAAGGACTATGTCGGTTAGTTTATTCATGTGCTAATAGTCAGAAAACAGTATGGTTTGTGGCATATCTTCATATCATTTATGTTGTCTGATAAATTTGCATTTTTTTTACTATTTTCAATTCATAAAAATGGATCATTGGTTCACAAGTGATTCTCTGAAATATACATGCATTCTGAGAATGAAAGACTGTCTCAGAAGCACTCTGCAAACCTAATAAAGAACATATTACAGTGCAAATATGGAACATGAATCTGTGTGTGCTGGGACAAGTAAGTCTGAGAATGAGAACTTCAATTGCCCAAATGGAAATGGCGAATTGGATGCATGATAGAATTTCAAAAAATTTATTTTTAGTGGACTAAGAATCCATTTATCCTTGATTTCATATTCTTTATTTTTTTGGACATAAAACTTGGTTAAATTGTAACATAATGTTTTTAGGTCACTTCCTAACACAACAAAGTGATGTATTGGTAAACCAATAAAGTTTTCCCAGAACAAATGCAAAATAATGCTTTTCAGTAGGTTATACTGAATAATATTATCAATGAAGTTAGAGAAGAGAACGAAACAGAGATTTGTTCACATTTGTATTCCGGCCAGTCAAAACTATTGTAGTTCACACTGTTGCTGAAACACTTTTAAAAATAGCTACAAAGTCAGTGACAAATAAATTAGAAGGGAAAGCAGAACCCAGTATCACCAACTTTCCTCTATTAGATGGCTCTGTTGGATCTCACGCTTTAGAGGTGTCAGACTCACCTGGATGCTGGGTCCCACAGTTCCTGGTTCAGTAGGTCTGGGGTAGAGCTGCTCCCAATTACATTTCTAACCGATTTCCAGATGCTGCTGCTGCTGGTGGTTGAGAACAACTCTTTGAGAACCACTGGTGCAGAGGCCATTACTAAAAGGTGTGCGTGCTGGCAGATGTATTCCTTGATCGTACAGCTGGAATCTTTTATGCACAGAATATGTATGAAGCCAGTGTCTCCTTGTGCCATGCCTGGGTGAGGGTAACGTGCTCAGTGACTTATAGGAAAATCCGTGCTGAAGAGAAAAAGCATTTGTTTTTCTCACACAGTTAATTGCGTATAGACTGTGATATAGACTGCGAAAGGGACACTGGGATTGGTACTGAGGGAGCACTAGCCACAAGTGGGCAGGCAAGGACCGTACTCTGTGAGTAAAAATGGCTGCACCTAAATTCCCTCCCACACTCAGCTTTATGTACAGAGGATAGCTGATGGTCGTTTTAAGCCTTTTGTTCTTGATTCAAAGTTGAGGGAACTAGAGAAAACTGTGAATACAATGAAAGCGTGATAATTGAATGTATGTATTTCATGTGCTGTGCAAAGAAATGGGCAGCACATTTTTAAAAATTGGGATGTAGTTGATATATAACATTGTATTCATTTTAGTTTTACAACATAGTGATTTCATATGTGTGTATATTATGAAATGATTACCAAAATAAGTTGAGTTGACATCCATCCTTACATGTAGCTACATTTTTTTTTCTTGTGATGAGAACTTTTAAGGTGTACTCTCGTAGGGACAACAAATTTAAGACAATTTTTTTTCCCACTGAAGGCTGTTGGCTGTTGATGAGGAAGGTGATCAAGAGTTTCTGGAATGAAGGATGAGTTAAAAAATATTTACAACATTAATAATAGGAGTACAGACCATTTCTGGAATTTCAAGCGGCTTAGCTCAGCAGAATGCTCAGTGTCTATCTGAACTATTAATGGACGAAATGTGCAATGAATTGCTTGATCTCTAATAGTTTGATGCTTTGCAGACTTGATGGCACCCTTACTTTATTTGAGAAATAAATTAACGATGTATCATTGGGCATGTCTTAAAACCACACACACATGAGCTGCAACTAAACATACAAGACTGATTTTCAGAGCTCCATTCAGCTCTGTAGAGGATTCAGGTTTCATTGGGCACAATCTCCTGGGTTGAAACTGTCCACACACCAGCCCTTCCCTGTTAAGGCTTGTTCATCTAGCATCCAACAGACTATGAAAAATAGTGAGACAAATTTCTTAGTGAAAAATTTCTCCATAATTCCTGGATCCACATGTGAGCCAAATATATAGAACCATTTGACAAAATCATCAAATACACTTGCTTTCATTCCTGGCAACCTCTAACTGGGATCTAGGAGCTTCTAGATAAGAAACCAGCTGGATATGGACGCTGATTTATGGCAAGAGCTGCATATGTATCTATCTTAGTGAGAAGCTGCATGTGACAATACCCCTCATTCATTTGAAGCTGTTTGTCATTTTGCTAATTTAATTTTTATTTTAAAATTTATTAACCTATTAGATTAATCTATTTTTTTAAAGCACACCCGATTGGTATTCTGCATGTTCCAAATGGCTATCAAGTGGTCATTTACAGACCAATAACACCATTAGCTGCACAGGATTTTTTTCAAAGGTTTGGCTATATTGCTCCCTGGTAATGCCACATTAGCGCCACCATGTGGAAAGAAGGAACACCCCCATTCTTTCTGTGGTTGAAAAGGGGACAGTTAATCGATTCTCTTGAATTTAAATTTAGATTACTAAACTTTTGCCTTGTATATTTTAGG